CCTGTGAGGGTGCTGAGATGCTGGCACAGGGTGCCCAGAGAAGCTGGGGCTGCCCCATCCCTGGCAGTGTTCAAGGTCAGGCTGGACACAGGGGCTTGGAGCAACCTGCTCTAGTGGAAGGTGTCCCTGCCCATGGCAGGGGTTGGAACTGGATGAGCTTTAAGGTCTCTTCCAACACAAACCAGGCTGGGATTCTATGATTCTATGTCAAGCTTTTAAAAGGATGTGGGGAATCTACATACTAGTAAGCCTGAAGTCTGCAACTGGCACATTAGCAAAAGCTACAGTGAAGAACAAAATCAGTGGACAAGTAAACACAACTTACTCCTTAAAATCCATACAAATGGAAGTCATGCTTCACAAATCAATTTAAGCTTTTTTAAATGAGTCAGGAAATACATCAACAAAGGAGACTGAGTTGATAAAAGCTACTTTGATTTCCAAAAGAGCCTCTTAAAGAGGCTACACACCCATGACACAAGAGGGAAGGTCTTCCATTTGGATAAAAACTGATTAAAAGAGAGACAAAAAAAATGAGTTCTGGGAGATTCCTGTGAGATTTCCATGAGGAGATCTATGCTGGGGTCAGTGCTAATCAGTTTAGTAAGAAAAAGGAAAGACGCTGAAAGCTGATAAAAAGTCCTTTGGGGCAGTAAATGGATGGCTGAAAACCTGCAGAGTGTCTTTATGATAGCAAAGGATTAGAAAATAAAATGACAGGTGAAACGGTGTGTAGAGAAGTCAGACATGACCACAGCATCCTACCTTTATAAATAAACCAATGGGGTCTAAGTAGATTTCTCCCTTGCAAGAAGAAAACTGTCTGAAAATGTTGACTTAGTGCCCCGCAGCAGTCAGAAAGCAAATAAAATGCAAGGAATTATTATTAGGAAAGGACAAAACTGGAAACTTCTTTATACCACTGTAATAAATCCATGGTGCATGTAAATATAGTGTACTGCTTATAGTTCTTGTTCCCATACCTCAAATAAGACATAGAAGTATCGAAAGAGAAAAGTGCTGCTGTACAGAGAATGAGTAGACTATGATCCTTGAGACTCAGACAGATAAAGACAGATAACACTAAATGTCTACAAACCATGAGAAGCAAGAGAAGTCAAACAGGGAATAATTATCACCATTTCTTACAGTACAGAAGTAAATGTCACCAAATGGACGTAGTGAAATCCAGGCACAAAGCGGGCAAATAGAAATGGTTCTTTACACCTTTGTAAGCAAGCCATGGAACTCCTCACTGCACAAAGTTATTAATGTTAAAATCATGGCTTCAGGAAGTGGTTTGAGTAATTCAGGGAAGAAACATTAACCAAGGGCATTAAATATGAAGACACAGTTTCTGTCTCAAAGGAGTGCCCTGAGCCTCAGCTTCTTGCATGCTTCCTACTACTTACGGATGCTTGCCCTCAGGTTATGCTTCTCCTTACAGAGCACGATCTGAGATGTGATACCATCCTAGACAGACATCTGTTTGTCCTAGTACGACCATTCTTACATGCTTATATTATGCCCTAACAGCCACCAACCAATAACCAGAAAACACATTAACAGATAAAGACCACAGCAGAAGATACTCACGGGTCTCATGTTGCAATGCCTTCCACAAATCTTATGTTCAAGGACCTAAATTTCCATTTCAAAAGGATATTTGAATTTTAAATATCATTTCTGATTAACTTTTTCTTTAGGAGCCTTTGAAAGAATATGCCGCTATATGGCCAAAAAATGCAACTCAGTGGTTGTGTCTGTGGGGTAAGTGCTATTTTTACATCCAAGTATTTATGGTAACACAGTGCATAGTTAAACCTATCCAAAACCTATGCTGAAAACATTTACTACTGCAGACTGTGCTCCCCAATTCTTCACTTTAGCGCTTCATTTAATTTAGAAATGTGCTTATAGGCCAAGTATTTGAAAACAGCTGTCACACCATTAGTCTGTCTTTCCAGTCCACACTGGTTAAAATTAAAACTAAATTGCATTTTTATACTCACCTTGACAATAACCATGGTATCTTTCACATTCCAGTTATCGTTTGGCTCCTGAACACCCATACCCAGGGCAGTATTTTGATTGTCTCAATGCCACCTTGTATTTTATGAGGAATTTAGAAGAGTATCATGTGGATCCTGCTCTCATCATCCTTAGTGGTGACAGTTGCGGAGCTAATTTTGCTACAGTTATTTGCCAAATACTGCTGAATAAAAGAGATCTCCCAAAAGTACGTGCTCAGGTTTTACTTTATCCAGGACTGCAGGGCCTAGATTTCCACTTGCCGTCCTACCAGCAGAATGCTTCAGTGCCCGTGTTGTTTCGGAAGTTAGTTGTCTACTTCTGCTTTCGCTATCTTAATAAAGAACCATCAGTTTTGGAAGATGTCCTCCAAAACTGCCATGTTCCTGAGAGTATGAAACAGAAATACAAGAAATGGGTAAGTGCTGACATTATTCCTGACGAATTCAAGGTGAGAGGCTACACACCTCAGCAACCCACCTCATATAAACCTGAAGTCCACAAAGCAATCAAAGAAATTTTGGCAATAACATTTTCCCCACTCTTAGCTGAAGATTCCATTATTCGCCAGCTCCCGGAATCCTACATCTTGACCTGTGAGTTTGATGTGCTCAGGGATGATGGGCTGTTATACAAGAAGCGGTTAGAGGACAATGGTGTTCAAGTGACCTGGTATCATTCTGAGAGTGGTTTCCATGGAATTTTGTCCTTTTTTGGCTATGGGATTTTTTCCTTTTTAACTGGGAAAAAGATAATGGATAGTACTGTGAATTTTATAAACAGCTTATAGAAGTGTTTTTCAGAACAAAAATGCAAATCTTACTTTATCCTTGGTGAATTTACACTTGGCAAAGAATGTAAACACTTCTGATACTGGATTTTGACTGCACTTTCCACTTTCTGATTTCTGCTTCTGCAGTGGCTCTCAAACAAACGTAAAGATTATTTAAAGCACCACAATTCCAGAAAACATGATTAGAAAACCCCACAATTAAGATCAAGATGCAGAAGCAGGCACCTGACACATACTGTTTCACTTCAACTCTAGCAACAGTATCTAGCAGTATCTTTCTATACCTGGCACTCCTCCAAGACAAGCAGCAAGAACACCTCTTCCTGAGGAATGCTGAAGACAACAACTAGGCTCCACTCTGGCCCTTGTGAACAACAGAAGATGTCTAGGGTATCAGATGGAGAGCACAATGACTCAGGTTCTGTGAAGTCTTATGCCCGGTAGTGAAATTGCAGCTATGAATTTTAATTCCTAGGGTTAGTTTGAACAAAGACTCCACTGTTCTTGAAAGTTTCTTTCTCCAGGAGAAGTGTAGTCAGAAGAAAGGCTTCTGACTGAAGCAGAAGTTCTGAACTGCAGCTAGTATGGGGTTGATTTTGTTTGAAATCTGAGAAATGATGTTTCATTTTGGAACTTGATTCTTGAACTGGAATCCCTAAACTGTAATGAGTGTGTACATGTTACCGAAGGGCAGAGGTGACACTTAGTTTCCTTTTTGTACTCTTTTTCTCTTAAGATTATCTTATGCTGAAGAGGACCTTTTATGTTACCTGTTACGCTATGTTTGTTGAAAAAGCTCTGAAGATCACAGATGTAAGAAAGTAGAAAAGCACAACATTATATTCTCTTATCACTGTAATGCTATGGCAATTGTGATGCTTTCAATAATAAAAAAATAAAAGCTAGCATTTCAAATACTTCTGTTACAAGAACAAGTTACATCTGCTAAGCACATACTCACTAATAAACCTAAATGAACACCTCATGGTGAGAGCAGCAATGCAACGCTGGCAGACAGAGACCACGCTCTTGCTAATTCTACAGAATTTTATTTTTTAGAAAGTTTCCTTACTCAAGTGAGATGGTACTTCCCCCATCACTTACAATTTAACATAAAAAAACCCCAACAGCAAATTCTAACATGGCTGCTTAACGAACTGACATTTTAACCTTTCATTTCCCTGAGAATCTGCAATTTCAACAACGTTCTGACATCCCAGTTGTTTGAAGAGTTGCAGACTCAGATTCACAATTAGTATCTCAAGCATCATTTAAGTTACAGCATCTCTGCAGTAGCATGATCCCATTCTACGTTTGCACAACCCACCTCTACATTAGCAGAACCTGTCTCTACATTAGCACAATCTCATTCTACATTTGCACAATCCCATTCTACATTTGCACAATCCCATTCTACATTTGCACAATCCACCTCTACATTAGCACATTTCCATTCAACAGCAAGAACAAGATAAAACAGTTTGATTTGAAACTCTTTAATCACTGATCATCTTAAGTCACATTATGTTCTACCTGTTGCACACTGAGAGTTACTGAAGTTATCTGGTATGAGGTAACCTGATCATGAATCTAAACTCAGCCTCTTGTGTTTTTTTTAACCATTCTTCTTTTAGAAGAACACACAAAGACTAAAAAACCTGAGATTGAAGTAATGACCTAGTTTTACAAGTGTACCTTTCCAAAAACACATTGCTGACAATACATTCAGCCCTTTAGCGTGATAATCATCATCTGCAGGTTCCTGTCTCTGCGTAACCCTAGAGAAACACAACTGTTTTACAGCATCACAAGCTCCAACCAAACAAATGCCCTGTGTCCTTTTTCAAGCTCTAATTAATTTAATATTAATACAGTTTATTCATAACACTCCTCTCCCAGCTAAGGACTGGTTTCTTACAGCAATTCCAAGAGTATGTTGGCATAGCTCTCTTAACGAATTCAAGAGTTTCACCAACTTATCTCTTGCGAAATAAAGGGAGAAGGGGGAAAGAAAGTGGGAGAGGGCAAGATACTAACTAAGGTATTTGTAAAAGAGAGGAGGAAAGGTTTTTAGCAGAGCAACCTTATGACCAACAAAGAATCAGGAAGTAACAAGCCAAAGATATCTGGGAAAGTCAAATCAAAGACATTTCAGACCACTTTGCTGCTCAGCAAAATGGCAGTTGTATACACAGTGCTGGTGCTGTTCTTGGCAGTTTTTGTTGCTGGATTTGTATTGCTGGTCTTGGGGGCAATGAATTTTGATTTCTCCAACTCAGAAATTCCTCCTGGAGTGAATGAGCCGGTAAAGCTCCGAATCATCCACATCATGTTAATAAGCAGAGCTGTGGTGGTAAGTTAACCTGGTGGGGTTTCTGGGGGAAGAATGGTGAACCTGCAGATCTGAAACTTGATGCAATGCTAGAGCCCTGCTTGTAATTTATTTCCAGAGAGGAAAGCTGGGCATTGCTATCATGCTGCATGTTGGACTTAAAAGCTTGGTTTTCCTAGAGAGACCTTCACCAGATTTTGACACTATGCTGCATTATTACAGTCTTGCCTGGCTCTGACACTAGGCAGGATGTAAATGCTGCCTAACACAGCATTTGAAAGTCTGACCATGCCTCTACAATGAATTGTGCTAACCTAGCAATAACTTGATTAAGAACACTTCTGCAGGTTGGATCATGTGTATTTCCGTTACAGGATCAGGATATATCAGATGTCTTTGGGCGATGCTTTCAAGCTTTCCTTAGACTTGGGGATGAGGAGATACTTGAAGATAAAACTAGAAACTGAACATTTCAAAATTGCTTTTGGGAAAGGGGGATTTTTTGTCACACAAGTGACAAAACTAGGTAACGTTGTCCAAGAGGAGCTGGAGAACTTCCATCTCCCCTGAACATCATTCTCTGATGGGAAGGAGGGGTTCTGCCCAGCCCAGCTGCTTCAACTGAACTAGTCCGGAAGAACTGGTGATCTCTGCTGACGCAGGATCTCACTGAATCAGGAGTATTTCATGTAATGATAGGTGTATAGCTGCTGTGGTGACAGAAGGTGTTAGAAACACACGAGATAACAGAAGTATTGTATTTAATAAATTATTTAAACACCTCCAAAAGGGAAAAACTATTTAAAATGTTTTAGAAAAATGAAAAATCTCTGACAGACATATTCTAGATTACAGCAGACCACAGTAAAGAATTCTAGATACATATTCTCATGTTTTGGCTGCCCATAAGTTGTGATTAGAAAGAGATTACTTTGCTTAAGCAGCTGGAAAAGCCAGTTCTCTCCTTATCTTTATACGCTGCCGTTAGTAGCATGAACCAGAATTGTATGCTGCAATGTCAACAACACAGGCTGGAAAAACCCAAGTAAGTTGAAAGTAAAGGTGAGAATACGCTTTGTAGTTGTCTTATTTCTGCTTGGAAAATAGCAAGTACCAAAGAATAAATAATTGTATCATGTTTGTACCCAATCAGAGATCCTATTTTCTATAATGAATTAAAATCAGCGTGTTGCAAAATGTATTAGTTTCTTCATCAAAAAAATCAGGCATGAAGAACATCATAAATAGCTGGAGTCACTGAAGAAAAGATCTTTCATAAGTAAATACATTGCGAGTCACAACACTGTGCTGACAAGCCATACAAATGTAGTGGCCTAAGAAGAAATATTCATAACAAAATATTGAATCCTAAAAGCTTGATCCAAATCTTCATAAGGACCTAAGTACTAGTTTGGCACGACTAAAAAATGTATTTCAAAACAGATGTTATGCCTTTTTTTCCTATTTTTGCAAATATATATTGGACTAGTAGCTCTCATTTGTATTCTTTTCATCTCCTGGTGCCTGGCATGAATATCACAATGGCATGTAGGAAGAACAGAAGTTTAAGCCTACTAAATATCTCAGGATGTTCTTGCTAGTGCATTGCACACATCAGTGAAGACCTCTGAGATAAAATCAAAAAGCAATTATCAAATATATTTCTCAACTTAGTCAACTCTACTTCCAGCAAGTGTCCACATGATGAAAATGAGCACCAGAACTATCATCTTTCACTATGTTTTCACATCTCCTCAGGTGCAAGGACAGAATATCTAGTGAAAAGAAAACTCATTTCCAAAGTCAGGTAAGGGACCCCCTGAGAAAGCAAAGGGATGTATTTCAGCAGTGTGCATTACTTTGGGATTACGTTCCCCAGTGAATGCTGCTGTTCATGTGTCCTCTAATGATGCTACTGCTATTTGATCAGTTGTACTATACCTGCACTATTCATATATTTTATGATTGCCCTAAAATATACAACTTAAAGATCAGGAGTATACTGCCCATACAGTTTCTTTACTTTGGAAAATACAGAAACTCTTGAGTGAACTCCCTATTCTCTTTGCCTTTGAACAGGGAAGGATTTTGGAAAACATTGGTATCTGCAGTCAGGTTGACTTTGTCCGGTACATGCAAGATAGAAAGACTCTACGAGTGGACCCAAAGCTCTTCATCAAGGACCTGTGGTTTGAAAAAGTGCCTGTAAGGATTTATCAGCCTAAGGCTCCATCTGCCCGCCAATGGAGAGGAGTCATGTTTTTCCACGGAGGAGGATGGGTATTTGGAAGTCTTGGTAAGATATCTAACAGAAGAAAAATATTATAATGCAGTTAAAGAAGAATCTACTTCATAGATGGTGAAGTTGATTGTCGCTTGATCTGTAACAGTTATAAGTTGGGAGTATAACCACAGATGCAGCCTCCTAAGTCTTGCTGTCAGAAGAAAGAATCTGCTATACATTATGTGGTTTTTCTTAAGGACAATGAGATACAAGTGGGGAAAACATAGTAAGCAAATACGGAAATAGGAAGATGAGGGGGTGCAAAAGAGCTGAGGAGCTACAGAGGAAGGGGCAGGGAAACTTAAGAGAATACTTTCTTCTTGCAATTCTTTGACTTATGCAATAGACAAAACTAATACTCTGGCAAACCAAACCAAACCTAACCCAACCCAACCCAAACCCCACCAAATCTGTTTCTTTCAGACACCCATGAAAGGCTATGCCGCTCTATTGCCAGAGAAAGCGAATCTGTGGTTGTATCTGTTGGGTGAGTATCTCCTCATGCTGTTTGTTACAGATTATTTCCTACAGTGTAATAAGCATCACTTTACAGCTTCCCTGACCACAGCAACAACCATTTTCAGAGAATGTGTTTCTGTGGGGCTTGTCAAGTATGTGATTTAAAATTCACTCTGCTCTTGTTCAGAGCCACTGAAGAATGACTAAGGCTAAGTTTTCACTGTCTGACTACATCACAAATAATGCTTTGGGATACCCACCTGGAAAATAAAGTTTTGAATCACTGTTTTCAAATTCCAAACTCAAAACTGACAGTAAATGGATAGTAAGCCATATATCCTACTTAATCCTCATTCATGGAAACTCTGCTTGATGCTCACAGATGCACAATGTGAATGACAAGCTAATATCATCACCAATATACTGACATAATGATTATGAGGATATAGTTACACTATAACAAAGCCATAAACCACACGTATTGTCATTTTTATCTGACCCATGGAAAGCTAAAGCGTAAAATGACTAAAGGACTGCTGATAAAACCTAAACATAGTTGGCAGTGGACTACTGTTGTGTTGTCAAAGACAACGCCCTAAACAGATGATATCCTAACACGTTAATCTGCACCACCCTCGTCCAGCAACCTGCAGTTTATTTATGATCAACCTGTGGAGATGAGAAAATTCTGAAGTAATCAGGGCATTGCTGACTGCAGGAACCAGTGTTTTCAGCAATACATTTAAAACTAATACTTACTTTGTCTTACTTTTGTTGTCTCTTTCTGTGTGCTAGGTATCGTTTAGCCCCTGAACACAAATACCCTGCTGCGTATGAAGACTGTCTTAATGCCACCATACACTTCATGAAGAAGGCAGAGCACTATGGTGTGGATCCTGCCAACATAACTGTCTGTGGGGACAGTGCTGGGGGCAATCTGGCAGCTGCTGTTAGCCAGACCCTTGCAGGTAGATCAGACCTCCCCAGCCTGCGTGCTCAGGTCTTGATCTACCCAGGCCTGCAGGCCCTGGACTTCAATTTACCATCCTACCATCAAAATCGAGGGGTCCCTCCCTTATTCCGAGAACGTGCTGCTTTCTGTATGTTACAGTACCTAGATGGGAATGCATCAAACCTTGAAGAGGTCTTGGAGGGCTCCCATATTCCTATGGATATAAAATTAAATTATGGGAAGTGGGTGAGCCCAGATCATATCCCCGAAAAATTTAAGGTCAGAGGCTACAAACCACATGTGCTACTTGATTGTTCAACTGAAACAGATGAGACAGTGAAGAGATTCTGTGAGCCCAACCTGTGCCCGCTGCTGGCCGAAGATGCTGTGATGCAGCAGCTGCCCGAGTCTTTCATCCTGACTTGCGAGTATGATGTGCTGAGGGACGATGGTTTGCTTTACAAGAAGAGACTGGAGGACAACGGTGTTCCAGTGACCTGGTACCACCTCGAGGATGGATTCCATGGAATCATAAATTCATTGAATACTGACTGGTTGTCATTCCCGTCTGGAAAAAGGGGTCTTGACAATATTGTGAACTTTCTAAAAAGCTTATAGAAATCATTTTCTTTCCTTCTGCAAGAACTGCCAATTTTCTGTAGTCTTTTATGCTTATAAATTCCATATAAAAGGTTCAGATAGGACTTCTATGAGCAATTATGCCAGTGTAACCACTGGAAAAGATATTTCAAGAATGCTATGAAAGTTTCTGTTCATGCTGTTTGAAGTATTCCATGTGCAGTCTGCCTATTTTAATGATCTATTTGGACTAGACACTTGCTATTCTCTCAGTAAATATTAAAGATGCAGTAAAAATTTAAACCAACACCAGGTCTGACCCATTTTATTCCATTATGATCAACAGTTTAATTCTTCCTAGAAGGTTGTATTTTGGCAAAGGAGAAAGATACTGTTACTAAAATGCTATAATGCAGTGCCTGTGATATATGCTACAAGTAGCATCTAAGATTCCCAGTCTCCAGCTATGTTTGTGGGCTATGAAAATTGGTATTTTAGACTCAAATAAATGAAGTCAAAACTGCAACTGTCCACAGCAGCTATGTTTAAATTATAATGGAAGAAACTATATGTTTTCCTACGGTTATCAAACTTGTAAGTATGCTGAAAAACTTGTCCTGTGCTTAAATACTCTAATAACAAAATAAGATTGATACATTTACTTTTGTAGACCACACATTAGCTTCCCCCAACATGTTAGTTCCCATTTTCTTTTCTAGATGTCCTTGTTAAAATTATATAATCCAAACCACTTAAATAATGTTCACAATACAGGGAGCAACATGCTGCTGCTGCAGATCAGCCAAGAAACAATTTATGTAAGAGGAAAGAGAAAATTTAACCTCTACCTTAGTTGGCTTTCATTGTCAACAGCAACCTGTCATAAACTAGACCTCATTCAGAATTTAACTGCTATCTCTGAACAATCATTCAGATCATCCGCAATCCAAGAATACCATGTAGAATACCACACAGAATACCAGGCCCTGCACCAGTCCCACAATTAACATAAAGCTAAACAGGATATTAAATACATTCTCCTCTTGACTCTTTTCCAATGTGACGCATGCCAGCACCTTACACAACATTTACGAGGACTTTAAGGTGTTTGGCATCCAAGAGATCAGTTGCAACTTGGACTGCTTTAAGGTTTACTTTCACCTGAGAAAGGTGCATCAAAGATGGGCATAAAGACACCTCACCTCTAGCTAAGCGAAATGGCATTTTTTAATATACTGCCAGTGGTTCTGCTGGTGGGTTTTATTGCTTCATTCATACTGGCAATTAAGAGAACAATTCAATCCGATTACTCCAATTTCAGTATCCCTCCTGGAGTGAATCAGCCTGGAAAGCTTCGAATTATCCTTGCTTCTATGATTGGTACATCTGCAATGGTGAGTTACTCTGCCATGATTCCAATCAGTAATGTGGTTTAGGTGTTATTTTTGTAAGGTTATATGTGCAAATACCAGCATCCTGCTGGCTGCGTCAAGACTTAAATGACGGCTTTTGGTTTTGGGGGGCTGACTTTAGAGGACAATTTTGGTTAAATCATTTCTGCCACACCTCAAAGAGTTTCAGTCAGGTTTTCCCTGTTACATTGGGGTGAAGCCAACCTTAAGTGTCCAAGCTGCACCAGCTGAGCTTCCTTAATAAAGTTTAAATTAATTATCTATAAAAAGTGAGATTGCTTTGATTTCCTTTTCAGCTAAGCACAGTTGATAGTTTTAGGCCATTCTTGGGGCTTTCCAGTAACACTTCAGCAGATAAACCCAGAGACTCACAGGAAACCTTACAGGAATGACTTCTGGGTTGTATATGGCTGTAAGTGGTGGGAAGCTGCTACGAAACTATAGGACTTGGTGATGCCGAGATGGAAACTCTTGTCTCCCCCAAGTCATTTTGCCTGACAGAGTGTGAGTCAGACTCGTGGCCCTACCTGCTCAGGTGCACGGTGCCACAGCAACCCCGCTCGCCAGGGCGCGGCGCCTCGCAGGGGACCGCCACGGCTCCATCTTCTCCTGTGCCAGCTTTCTAGTGAGGACCGAACCCGAGCGGCCGCTCAAGGAGAAGGTAGAGGCGAGTGGCGCTGGAACAGGCGAGCGGCTCTGGAACAGGTTGAACCTCGTTAACACGAAGCCCGGGTGCTCCTCAGGCCTCGCCAAGTGCAGGGTCTCCCTCACGGCAACCGGCCTCGCGCGGCCTGCGCCGTCAGTCCCCTGAAGCGGCTGCTGACTGTCCCCGCGGAGCCCGCCCTCCGCTCACCCGCACTCTCCTTCTCTTCGAACAGGGGAAGACGTTGGAGA